AAACCTCCAGGCACCTGCGAGAAACACGACGTTGACAGGCATCGCAAACCGCTGTGGACCGCGTGAAGACCACAAGAAACATTCTGCGTCCTTCTGGAAGCCTCGAGATCTTCCCAGATCGGTTCACCTCTGCAGAAAGGAAGGCGCCGAACATGCTTCAAAATGAGCAAACACGGCGCGACCACTATAGGGGAAACGTTCTTTTTGCATGGTCGCATTGTGGGGCATATTGTTTGACCGTGCTTGGCAGTACATGGCATTGCTTGGCATAACTTTGGGTTGCGTGGCAGTTCGCGCCACTGCTTGGCATTGCGTGGCGATGCAGCAATGGACCAAAACCAAGAAATCATGGAACCGAAGCCAAGGAACCAAGGAATCCGAGGACGGCAGCAAGCAACTAAGACCAAGGAACCCAGAGAACGCCACTGTGAGGAAGCAGGATAAATGCCAGGTACCCCCCTGGCGGAGGGAAAGACCAAGGAGCCCCGGGGCATTGGGCTGCGACCGCGCCTCGCACCTTCCCGCTCTTCTAAACCAACTAAGAAACCCGAGGTATCGCGTGAGGAAGTGGAGGCTAACGCATGTGACCGTCGTTGTCTACGCTCGTCCTTCCGGTGCTCTCATAAGCGCAAGCCTGATCTGTTTTCCACTTCGCGCCTAGCCGTGGCGACGACGGGGACCAACGCAGACCCTGAAGCAGAGGAGGATGAGGAGAAGGTGGGAGGGCACGAGGAAGAAGAGCAGCAGGACGGAGAGGAGGGGGAGTTGGGGGAGCAGGGGGGAGGAGGAGAAGGAGGAGGAGGAGGAGGAGGAGAAGGAGGAGGAGAAGGAGGAGGAGGAGGAGAGAGGAGAGGAGGAGGAGGAGGAGGAGGAGGGGGAGGAGGGGAGGAGGGAGCAGGAGGTGGGAGGAGGGAGGAGGAGGAGGAGGGGAGGAGGAGGAGGAGGAGGAGGAGGAGGAGGAGGGAGGAGGAGAGGAGGAGGGAGGAGGAGCGGCACTGAGAGGACGGGGGGGGAGGGGGAACATTCTTTCCAGGATTTTGCCAGGCGGTGACAAACAGAGAATGCCAGATGGTGTCGTTCCTGCCGAGGTACCGATCCGCATTTGAGGCACAGGTTAATCGCATTGAGTGAGCTGCATTACACCGTTCTCGGGCAGTAGAACTGGCAGCCCAAGAACGTAGGCCGTACGAGAAGACGAAACACAATCATACAATTGTTAACAATAAGTACAAGAAGGAGGGGGGAGGAGCAGGAGTCGGAGGAGGAGCAGCAGCAGCAGCAGAGAGCAGCAGCAGCAGGAAGAGGGGGGAGGAAAGGATGGGAAGGTGATTAGGAGGAAAGTGAGATCGAGCAGGAGGATGGAGGAGGAAGATTAGCAGAGGAGGAGGAGGAGGAGGAGGAGGAGGAGGAGGAGGAGGAGGCGAGGGAAGAGGAGCAGCAGCAGCCAGACGACGAAAGGGAGGAGGAGGACGGGGAGGTGGGCGAGGAAGGGGATGAGGAGGAGCACCGGGAGGGGGAGGGGGGAAGAGGGGAGAGAAGAAGAGGAGCAGGAGGTGGAGGGGGGGAGGTTGAGTGAGAATGAGGGGGAGGAGGAAAGGAAATGGAAAGGAGGGAGGAACAGGAAGAGCAAGCCTCCGAAATCCTACGAGCGCCTCTCATCATGTCTGAGAACTGCCCGAAGACCCCCGAAATCCGCCCCAGATCTTTCCCCCCTCGTCGCCGTCCAACCTGCTTCCCCCTTCCACCCCCTCGGTGAGTTCTGGCCAGAATATCATCGGTGAGTTCTGGCCAGAATATCAAGTTCTGGCCAGAATATCAACCTCGCCACATTCGCCGAAGACCCCTCCCCTGGACCCCTTCTGGACGGCACCCTGGCATGTGTGTCTCCAGCTGCGCCCAGCCGTGTCTACGAGGAGGGTCACAAAAGGCAGCAATCAATCAGAGCTCATCCTTGAGGGTGCTCAAGGTAAGGTGGCTCAAGATGAGGTCTCCTAAGGGTCTCTGGTCTCCTCCTGACCTCCCGGAGGTATCCCCCCAGACCTTGGGGAGGTCTCTCGGAGGTCTCCCCTCCAGCCTCCCTCTCCTGGAGCCCTCCCGGGGAGGCCGGATGGTGGAGGGGAGGTCGTCCGAAGACCTCCCCTCCCTCTCTCCCTCCCCTCATTCTTCCCCCTTTGGGCCCCAGAGGATGGAGGCCACGAGCCGCTCCCCGATGCTCACAATGGTCACGGAGACCATCTCGGGACTGCCCGTCGTTCGGGCGCACTGCTCCGAGGCTGCCCTCGTCGTCCTCGCCCTCGCCTCGTCCTCTGCTTGACCGTTCTCTCCTCCTCGTGGTCCTCGTTCGGCCGCCCCGTTTCGAGGCCGTGGCCCTCCTCGTCCCCGTCCGCTGTCGCCCCACCCTCGTCCGTCTTCGCCCACTCCTCGTCCTCCGCTCGTCCTCGCCCTCGCTTCGTTTCGGATGCAACTCTTGGGAGGTCAAATTCTGATTTGGCCCTGGTCCGAAATCCCGTTTAATCTGGCTCAATCCCGCTTGATCCGAGCCCCACTCTGGCGCAACAGCCCCCCACTGGGGCTTGATCCTCCTTCATCCTTCTGTCGACAGCCTCCCAGTAGTTGCCTCCTAACTTCGTCTCGTCCTCACCCGCCGCGTCCGACATCTCCTCGCGCTCCTCGTGACATCTTCTTCTGGGCCTCTGGGGGGGCGGGAGGCTCGTCGGGACACGGCGCCTGGGCGGGCCGTGGCTCGGGAAGCGGGCCATGGTGGCCCCAGCGGCCGGCGTCCTCGTCGGTGACGTTGTCGTGGCCGCGGTCGCGGCATGCCGTGATCTTCGCGGTCGTCGTGGTCGTCGTCGTCGTCGTCGTCGACCCCCTTGAGGTTGGCAGCGTGATCCTGGGCCGAGCAGCCTCGGCCACCGCCCCGTCTGGGCCGTTGCAGGGATGGGCCTCGTCTTCAAGGCATCGAGGGGTTGACCTCTCGCTCTTAGCGGACGGCCAGCGGACGCAAGGCCAGGGCGGTTTGGTTGGCGGCAGTTCGGCGGAAGCTCGGCGAGATTGAGGCAGACCCTCCAAAAGAGGTCGGCGCCACCGTACTCAGGCTTTTCTGGGGCCGGCTATACAGCTGTCCGTGATCATCGTAGCCATGATATCGGCGGTGTGGCAATGATAATGTTGGTTGTTGTATTGGCAAACTCCCGATTGTTTCTCGGGCGAAGGGGGATCGATAGAAGGAGCGGACGGGGGAGGAGGACGAGTGATGATGAGAGACGAGGGATGGTGGAGAGATATTTTGGACGATCATAATGAGGAGTCGCAGAATGGGAGGGTGAGGAAGTCGAGCAGGAGCAGGTAGGAACAGGGCTGGGGCATACTGAGTGAGGAGGACGAGGTGGCTTCGAGGAGAAAGAGGAGGAGGAGGAGGAGGAGGAGGAGAAGGAGAAGTGGCAGCAGCAGGAGGAGGAGGAGAAAGAAAGGGGGGAGAGAATGAGGAGTATGATGATGAGGGCGGAAGAGGAAGAAGAGAAGGAGGGGAAGCCAGAGGGAGAGAAAACGGTGTGTCAAAGATGTTACAACACGCCCTCTCGGCCCCAAGCCCCCGCCGCAGGGTCCCTACAAGTGTTCCTCCTCGCTGCGGGGAGCCTCCCCCCCCCCCCCGACGCACGAAAGCCCCCGTGGTCCTGCCAGGCAGGCAGGAGCCCCGCTCTTGAAGCAGGGCCGCCCTCGGGCCGTCGAGCGGCAAGCCATGGCAAGAGATAGGATCGTACACAGCAAGAGCATCTCAAGCATGCCCCGACGGCGCAGAGGCGGCGGGCCCCGGGCGGAACTCCCGAGTGCAGGGGCCGCCGCCGGGCCGACCGCCCAGACGGTCGGCTGACTGCCAATACACTTCCGGAAAAGATCTCGAGCGTGCAATTTCCCAGCCTGCCTCTGTTGAGCCAGTGCACGTGCGATGTGCGCGCCCCTTGCCGGGAAAGCAGAAGGGAGTGTGTTGGCGAGACGCCGGCTCCGCCCGTGCAGCTGCTGCAGCTGGTGTGGGTGCCCCGTTCTGCAGCGCGGTGCCTGTGGTAGTTCGAGTCCTGTCGGGCCTGTCCTTCTACAGTCGGGGGCGGTAGAGAGGCGGGTGATGACTAGGGGGAGGTGGATATCATGGCGGGGGCCATGATATTTCCCCAGATTTTATGGCGCCTCTTCTTATTTCATTACGTCCCTGGCCCACCCGCTGGGCCGCGCACATTCCGCCAGTCATGATTTGCACCCCCCCCTCTTGGACACCCCCCTCTTGGCCGCTCCCGATACAGCAGGAGTATTCCAAAGTAGTCAAACAATAGCTGGGGGACGATTGTTTCACCATGGTTGAGTATGTTGGGGTATTTGTTGACTATTTTTTATTTTTCGTCCAAGTACCTCTGTAGGGGGGCGTGCCCGACTTCAACTTAGAGCGATGGGCGAATGTTGAACATGATACGTGCTGCACGCGTGAAGCCGTTGCAAACTTGTATAGCGAATGGTTGCGGCGGCATTGCGAGAGCCGCAATTTGAACAAAACACCTCGCCTCCATCCGTAGAACTATTGTGACATCAAAAGACGAATCCGCTTGGCGTACATGGAATCATTTATTTAAAAATAACGGCCCGCCATCACCTGTCCGTATATATGTTGTTATGTGTATGTGCACATGTACATATATATATATATATATATATGTATATATATACATATATATATATATATATATGTATACATGCTTCCACGCCATCTATTTTGAGGATGTATCAAGCGGAACGCCTTGCAGGGATTTTGGGTTGACGGCGACGGGATCGACGATTGGGGGCGGTACGAAGACGGATTGCAGGCCGACATGTACAAACAGTTCTGTGGGCTTGTGGACCAGAATGCGGCGTTTTTCATGCACGTGTGGATATTGATGCCGTGGCTAGCCCTGAACATTGAGCAGATGGTTGCAGCCGTATTCCTGGTGGCATGCGTGTCCGCCCTCCTCCTGAAGAGCGTCGTGGGCCCCGCCCTGACCGCGGTGGCGCTCACCAACATCATGTCGCTGCTGTCGAAGGCGCAGATCACGTGCCGGCAGTCGGTCGAGGTGGAGAAGCTCTTCACCGCGGTGGAGAGGCTGTCGCCATGAAGGAAACGCGTGTTCGGGCTCTCGGTGCCCTCCCAGGGCCCCGCTGGGACCGACAGAGAACCTCGGAGGATGAAAAGCTGCGCAGGAGAAGGCGCGGCGCCGTCCTCGCGGCAGCGGCGCTCCTCAGGGTTGCGTGGGGCCTTCGGACCGCCTTTGCGGACATTGGGATGGGCGGCAGTGGCATGCCAGACCTTAACCTCAAGGCGGCAAGGCCGCGCGGTGATGGTCGTCGGGGACACCATGTCCAGGGCCCAGGACCCGTTTCCCTGGGGACCCGTTCCCTTCATGGTGAGGTTGTCGCATCTGCTCGGCTCGATGCCGGCCGAGCAGGAGGTGCGGCAGGGGGCCGAGCCGCGCCACTCCCCAGACGTTGTCGGAAAGGGCGGCGCCCGCCTGGAGCGGCCAGGGCGCCCCGGCGCCGGCGGCTCCGAGGCCGAGCTCCCGGAGGCGAGCTGGCCGGGCGCGGGCCACGTGCGGTTCGAGGACGCGTCGTTGCGGTACCGCCCTGGGCTGCCGCTCGTCCTGGAGGGCCTCTGCCTCGAGGTGCTGCCGGGGAGGTCCTCCCTGGCGGCGCGCACTGGGGGGGGCGCCCTCCCGAGAAAGGCGGGGCGGGCCTCCTGGAAGGCAGAGAGCGGAGGGCCGCTTGCAAGCAGAGCGGAGACAGAGACGGGCAGGAACCGAGATGAGGCCTTCTCTTGATCGTCCTCCTCCCTCCTCTTCCTCCTCCTTTGCCTCCTCCTCCTTCTCCTCCTCCCTTTCCTCCTCCTTTGCCTCCTCCTCCGAGGAGGAGGAGGAGGAGGAGGCTTCCGAGGAGGCTTCCTGTGGGAGCCCCCATGCAGACATCTGCTGCGCGACGGCCCACCGCGGCCTGCCGCGAAGGCCCTCCCCCCCCGCCCTTCTCGGAGGGCCGCCACGCCGTCGGCGCGCGCCGCCAGAGGTCGGTGGGGCTCATCGGGGCCTCTGGCTGCGGAAAGAGCTCGTGCTTGCGGGCCATCCTGCGGGGGTTGCCAGAGGTGCTCCT